AGGTAAGTGGTTGCAAAAAATGTGCATGAGCTGATTTTAAACAAACAAATTATTCAATTCATCTGTATTTCTATAGCGCTTTTAAATTGTAGATTGTGTCAAGGCAGCTTAACATAGAAGTTCTAGTAGATTTAAACAGTGTCAGTCCAGTTTTCAGAGTTGAAGTTCAGTTTAGTTCAGTTTGGTTTAGTTTTCACTGCTGAAAGTCCAAACACTGAAGAGCAAATCCATCAATGTGCAGCTCCACAAGTCCCAAATCAAGCAAGCCAGTTTCGAGGAAAAAACTTTCCCAATTGACGAAAGTGAGGGAAAAAACCCTGAGAAAAATCAGACTCCGTTGGGTATGACCTTTTCTCCTCTGGCCAAACGTCCTGTGCAGAGCTGTAGTCTAGGCGCTGGAGGCTCGAGAATGCTTGACGTCCGTCGTGGAGAAGCTGCAGATGTGAGTAGGTCACCAGCTAGTGTACAGGCTCGCCCACAAGATCAGTGAGGAGACTCGTCTGTCACTGGAGTCTTTCAGGAATCAGTCTCAAGCAGGTCGCACACCAGAAGCGCCGCTCGGCGCCGCGACACGGCGCGTACATGACAGATTAAAGTATCGCACACCAGACGCGCACATTCGAATGATATTTAACATGAAACTAATCAGATGGCGCTCTGTGGCGCGGCTGAAAAATGAACTGCGTGCTGAGCCGTCGCCGGGCGCCGCCGGCCGACAGCCGCCGACTTGCGGCGCCGGTGTGTGTATCCTGATAAAAACCTATGTTTAGAATTCTAAAATGCTTGGCGCTGCGCGGCGCGGCGCCGAGCGGCGCTTCTGGTGTGCGACCTGCTTGAGACTGATTCCTGAAAGACTCCAGTGACAGACGAGTCTCCTCACTGATCTTGTGGGCGAGCCTGTACACTAGCTGGTGACCTACTCACATCTGCAGCTTCTCCACGACGGACGTCAAGCATTCTCGAGCCTCCAGCGCCTAGACTACAGCTCTGCACAGGACGTTTGGCCAGAGGAGAAAAGGTCATACCCAACGGAGTCTGATTTTTCTCAGGGTTTTTTCCCTCACTTTCGTCAATTGGGAAAGTTTTTTCCTCGAAACTGGCTTGCTTGATTTGGGACTTGTGGAGCTGCACATTGATGGATTTGCTCTTCAGTGTTTGGACTTTCAGCAGTGAAAACTAAACCAAACTGAACTAAACTGAACTTCAACTCTGAAAACTGGACTGACACTGTTTAAATCTACTAGAACTTCTATGTTAAGCTGCCTTGACACAATCTACAATTTAAAAGCGCTATAGAAATACAGATGAATTGAATAATTTGTTTGTTTAAAATCAGCTCATGCACATTTTTTGCAACCACTTACCTTAGAAAATGTTGTGAATTCAATAAATCTTTTTTTTCCAGTGCTGTCAGACTACTGTATGCATCATGCGATTATTAGACTAGTAACTAAACAGCAATTCTAAAAAGTAAAATAGTACAAAATAGGTATGCACTTTTTTTTTCGGCTGAAAACATTTTGAGGGGCCAGAAATTCAAACAAATGAGCCGAATAAAAGGCTATGCTACACTGTACTGTTCAGCGCGCAGGTTTCACTCTTCTTTTAGCCATAGACATTGCACAGACTGGAGTAGCTTTCAGACCAGATGCGGAAAGCGCTGTGCAATGAAACCCATTCATAGCAATGGCTTGTGCCAAGCAATGTTGGTTTGTTTTTGCACCATCCAAAGTGCAATGTCACGCTCTGTGGATTTTCCACTCACATACACATATACTTGGATGCATGAACTGCACATGTCTGTCAAATGACACACCAATAGGACAGTAGGACGCTGGTAAAATGACGCCTCTCACCTTGTTCGCCGTCAATAAAATGTGATTGTTTATTTTTTTTTATCTGTATAATTTAAGCTACTGTGGCGATGCAGTAGCGTAGTAGGTAGTGCTGATGCCTCACAGCCAGAAGGTTGCTGGTTAGAGCCTCGGCTGGGTCAGTTGGCATTTCTGTGTGGAGTTTGCATGTTCTCCCTGCATTCGCGTGGGTTTCCTCCGGGTGCTCCAGTTTCCCCCAAAGTCCAAAGACATACGGTACAGGTGAATTGGGTAGGATAACTTGTCTGTAGTGTATGAGTGTGAATGACTGTGTTTCCCAGATGGGTTGTGGCTGGAAGGGCATCCGCTGTGTAAAAACTTGCTGGATAAGTTGGCGGTTCATTCCTCTGTGGCGACCCCGGATTAATAAAGGGACTAAGCCGACAAGAAAATGAATGAATGAATGAATAAATTTAAGCTATTGTGTTTAAATTTAAAAAGTCTTACAGAATTACTTTAGAATATTTAATAAAATATTAATCATTACAAGGC